GGCTGGAACCCAAGACTTTGGGGGCTTTAATACTTCCCCTCCTCCACTGATCATAACCAAATAATACAGGACAAGAGGTTCTCATTGATTGATGGGAATCATGTACCCGAGGGTTATGGACTGTGATCTCTGACCAGTTCCATCCCATACAATCAAGGAGGGAGAGAGGGAGGAAGGAAAGAAGAGAGAAGAGGTAAAGGGAGAAAGAATGAGAATTCATGCCTGCTTTATGAGGTTGGTGTAGATGACCACCCGTTTTGGTGGCTGGATGGATTCTAGGGAGCCTAACACACGTGGAAAATTGGATTGTCGCATTATCAAAACTATACCTAGAATTACAGAGCCAACCTGCCAATGGCATGGTAGATGCAAAAGAGTGTGGACTGTGTGTTCAGACCTCCCTTCTGCCATTTTAGTATCTTTGTAACCCAGGAAAGATTATTTTAAATGATTTTTCTGCCTCTATTTCATCATTTGCCAAATGGAAATACTATTACATAGTCCCCGAGTTATTTGACTGTAGCAGAAGAGTGTACTTACTGATGATTGCCTTTCTCTGTGTCTTTCTGCTCCCACATTCCTTATCACAAGGCCTTACATTGTGACCGACGTTATTGACAAAAAGCTCTAGAACTTCTTGCCAACTGAAATGAAAATGGCTAGGAACCTTCATGCACTTATAAAGCAAAGCACCAAAGGTCTAAACCAAAGCTCATAATGAAAGTAGCCTACAACTTAGAAATTTCCGAATTTTTAAACCCTTACCAAGAAGCTACTTGCATTTGATGGCTGCTAGAAAGGGAAAATCTATTTATTCCAGTTGATTGGCAGGCCCTGTGCCCAGGAGTAGTTGGCTAACACAACAGGGATGCTTCCATATGTGTGTGTGTGTGTGTGTGTGTGTGTGTGTGTGTGTGTGTATGTGTGTGTGTGTGTGTGTGTGCTTTTTTGGTCTGTGCTATTGGGGTTTTTGTTTTGTTTGTTTTGATTTTGATTTTTTCTTTTTGATATATAGAAAAGAACATGATGGAGTTGGGTGGATAGGGAGGTTGGAGAGGATCTAGGAGGAGTTAGGGAAGGGAAAAGAATATGATCAAAATAGACTTATGAAAAACTTTTTTAAAGAAAAAAAGACTTGGCAAATAATGTTAAATTATCAGCCACCTCTCCACTTTTAAGAATGTCATATCAAATTTAATATTCAAGTAATATATTATACATGAATGTCCTTACTCTTTGAATCTCTTCTTGATAATTAAAAAAATCACATGTAAATGCTTCTTATCATAAGCAATGCTACAATAACTAACCCAGTAATAAATCCTTTTTCTGAGGTGTAAATTTTTACTTGGGACATTTTATTACAAACTCATCATAATCTCAAGGGATATGAGCATTTTACTACTCAGTACAGTCTGCCACATTTCGTGTGCTCAAAAGCTGTAAGTGGCTAAGTGGCAATTGTATTGGACAGTGTTCTGACTACTTTAGGTTGTCAACTCTTTTGATCTTATTTAACTTACGTTCTTTGGGAAAAAGAGATGTAAGCAAGTCTGATGTGTACTTTGTCCTAGTTGTCTTTCTGTTTCTGTGATAAAACATCATGGGGAAGTTGGGGAAGGAAGGGTTATTTCAGCTTATGTGTCCCAGTCACAGTCCATCACCAAGGGAAGTCAAGGCATGAACTCAGGGTAAGAACCTGAAGGCAGGAACTGAAGAAAAGACCATAAAGGAACACCACTTACTGGTTTGCTCTGCAGAATCACATTCAGCTACCTTTCCTGTACCTCTCAGGACTACCTGCCCAATGTTGGCACTGCCCACAGTGGGCTGAGTCCTCCCACACCAATCTTTAATCAAGAAAATTCTCCACAGACTTGCCTACAGCCCAGTCTAATGGAGGCATCTTCTCAAGTAAGATCTGTCTTCCAAAATGACTCTAGTTTGTTTGAAGTTTACAAAAACAGAAACAATACAACACAAAACAAAAAAACAAAACCCCCAAAACCTAACCAGTACACACTTCCAGGGCAGTATGTGTAAGGAAGAAAGGAAATGAGACATACACACAACTATATGAAATGCCTATTTAAAAACTGTCTCAGGACTTTCCAAATGAGGGAGAACAAAAAAATTGATCTGTTGTCCACACCTTCCAACCATTTTTTTGGTCAGCGTTAGGCCTGTTGGGGAATGGGGATTCTTTGCTCTTCTGGTCTGTATTCCCTAGCCCCTTTAGGTACCTTCTGGAGAGACTGCAAACCGCTTCTTGTGGTTTAGCTCTTCACCGAAGTCTTAGTGTGGAAGGATCCAGACCCTCAATAGGTTAGTCAGGTGAAGGAGTTGCTGTGGCCTCCACCACTGCAGGGACAATTGAGGTTATCAGAACTTAGTGGTCAGTGGCGGGGGGGGGGGGCTGAAGGGGTGGATGGCACCAGTGACAACACTGTAGGGCAGCAACCAATGACCCAGAGGAGGCACATGAGGTGTCCAGTCATTCTGTCCACATGACAGAGGATTCTGACAGATTAGCAGCGTGCCCAGGGTTGCATATGTAGTGGGTAACAGACTGGGAATTCGAACTAGGTGGTCTCGTGTAAGAGGCTGACCATGAGCTTACTATGGGTCCTTACCCATTCAGCACATCCCAGTACTAGTCAAAATCTTAGTTAGCACACCTTAGCTGCTATGGAAGCTTTAAAGATAACCTAAGAGGAGAGGTGAATGTTGAGGGTTCAGAAAAAAACTCTTGACCCATGTGGATCTGTGCTAAGTAACCAAAAACTTCCTACTTCCCTAGAATTCATGAACAGCTCCCTACCCTGACCTAGAAATATAATAACCTCTTCCGCAAGGTTCCATCTATTCAGCATATTTGGTCAGTGTTTTTCAGATTCTGTGTGATGTTGTGGAACAGCAGAAAATTTAAGCTCTATATTTGATATTTCTTGGAAACCATTAAAACGCTTATTCCACTTTGAATGGGTTGGTGTGGTAAGGGTGGGGATCTGGTGATTGATCAAGAAGAGGCATCTTCATGACAGGCAGCAACACAAAGAATCTACTGGGGAAGTGCTTGGGCCAGGTTGCATTGGGAGGGAACTCCCTCCCAGCTGAAAATCTTCCAGGGAGAGTGTGGCACGAGGCCATCACCCAGAAGGGAAATAGAACAAGAGACTTCCTGGGTAAGTGAGGAAAAACAGAAAGGGGACTTAGGTGGGTAAATGATGTCACTCTGCAGTTGGGTAGAGCATTTAGATCTGAAGTTCTACAGCAGTTTGGGGCTTTTAGAACTAGAGGTTCTAAAAGGGTTGTTGGGCTCCCTTTGGACAGCAGATACTGGACATAGTTGTGCTGCACATAAAATAGGTAGGTTCCAGATGGCTGCCAATGCTTATTCAGAACACCTTTTGAAGCTATTTGACATTTCAGAACTTGAGTTTGGCACAAGTAGATGTTGGTGTTAGCTTGCTGTGGGGAGGTAAACAACATGGGAGGTCCTTTTAACCTAATGTACAGGGGGCCGTTGCTGCCCTATTTTTGTGATAGCCAAATAGGAACATTTCCATTCATTCAGCTACCCCATTGTTGTAATAGAGTGTTAGAGAATGTGAATGAACTCCTTATGGCAGCAAATCTAAAATTCCTGATCTAGTTTGATGCTTCTCAAAGCCAGCCAAGTCCTATTCTAATCATCTTCTTCTGGCCTCTTCATTGAATCCAAATGCCAGGCAGAAATAAACCCATGAAATCAGTTCTCAAATTTCATTACTTTGTGGATGACAAAGCTGTAATCCAGCCAGGCACAAAGTGTTCCCCAAGATCACATAGCTCGTTGCAAAAAAAAGGGCTTGACCCCAAATCAAGGTTCCTGAATTTTGCCTCATTTTATGTGAACATTACCCTCCCTGTCACATCATTCAACCCTTGTGTATGAATTTGTTGGCATGACTCTACTTTGAACTAAGTTTCATGGAACAAAGCTTAAAACTGACCATCCCTTTCTTTCATTACCAGAATGGTACCTTTCAGCAGATATCTGCACACGCACCCACTCCTGTCTGTGTGTGTCTGAATGTCCTGCAAACAATCACAGAGGAGCAACTTGTGCCATGATGCATTTCCTCTTTATCTTACAAGGAGGGATCTTATCTACACAAAGGTATTAGTTCCCAGAGCTCGATGAAATCTTATCTTTGCCAAATAGTTTCTCATGTTAGATCTTGATGCACTTTCTTGCAAGAACTCTTAAAATATTTTAGTAAATACCAAATGTAGCTAATACAGATTTAAAAAATATCATAATGCCCCGTAAGGAATATTTTAGCATTGGATAATAGACTTGCTGACTCAATTTTGGAACTTATTGCCTCTGGACTGGAGACAAAGAATAGGAAGGCTCCTTGTTGGCAGCTATAGGGGCCATTTGTGGTTTCTTTATACTGTTGTGTGGTGGTATTGTGTTCCCCAAAATATTGTGTACCTTAATAAACTTACCTGGGGTCAGAGAACAGACAAGCCACTAGTTAGTCAGTGATAGCACACGCCTTTAATCCTAGCATTCCAGAGATAGAAATCCCTCTGGATCTCTGTGAGTTCAAGGCCACATTGGAAATAGCCAAGCATGGTGACACACACCTTTAATCCCAGAACGCCAGCCTTTAATCCCAGGGAGTGGTGGTAGAAAGTAGAAAGATATATAAGGCGTGAGGACCAGAAACTAGAGGCTTTTGGCTGGTTAAGCATTTGGCTGGATAAGCATTCGGGCTTTTAAGCAGCAGTTCAGCTGAGAGCCATTGGGATGAGGACACAGAAGCTTCCAGTCGGAGGAAACAAGACCAGCTGAGGATCTGGCGAGGTGAGATAGCTATGGCTTGTTCTGTCTCTCTGATCTACCAGCATGGACCCCAATAACTGGCCTCGGGTTTGATTTTATTAATAAGAACTTTTAAGATTCCTGCAACACTGTTGCTTTTATTGGGCTATGGATTATTTTTCAGAAGATGGAGATTTTTCTCTTTGTCTGGAACATCTGTATCTTTGTGGGAAGGATGCTGACTCAAAGAGGGAAGACACCAAACTCCAGTTACACAATGAACCTGTTCCTGGTTAACTTTCAGGTCTGTGAGTTTCATCAGCATCTTCGTTCTCATCCCCTCTAGTCCTCCTCTCCATACTCCCTCTCTCATAAAGAAAAGGTGGGGAGAGGAGATAGAGTGTTACTGTTGATTAAAGGGCTGATCGGAAGATGATGCTGTGGAGATCACACCAAAGGAAACTTTCGCTGGGTCCCACATTCTCAGACAGTTAAGAAGCTTGATGCTTAAACCTGTCTAGAATCCATTATTGTTGAGAGGTTAGATTGCTTTCTGGCCATCCCCAGCTCCCACCCTGCACAGAGGATTGGTTCATAGCCGAAGAGTTCCTAGTCTTCTTTTGATGTAGCACGTCATGGATATGTCAACTAAGACTACAGAGTTTTAGTCCTTTCCACAGTGTTTTGGCAGTGAGGATGGAAACTAATCTCTGCTGCTTCTAATCCAGAATTGTTCAATCAAGAATTCAGAAATCAGACTGCTTTGGATTGGAGACAGAAGACATCACTTTGTCAAAGACCATCGCTCTGTTCTAAACAATGAGTTGGGAGTTTGTTTTAAATAAGGTGGAAAATCTACTTATCATTTCCTCAAGCCTTGGAAGTATGGATCTCCATGTGGGGGCAGGGAGCGAAAGTGGTTGAAAGAAAACTGGGGAGCTTGGATAGCCATGAGAGAGATGTACTAGATGATTCTATGAGCTCCCTATGTTCTAAATGATCTTCTGTTAGTGAGGCTCCTGAGCTAGATGACTCACACCTGGGTCTCCCCACTGAGATGTCCCCAAGTTGCCAGCAGAAAAAGAGCCAGCCAAGATTGAGCCAAGTATACGTAGAAACATGACAACCATGAAAATATTATAGATTATCATCTGAAGATGCAGCTCCATGCTAGAGAGCTTGCCTAGTGTGTACAAGGCTCTGAGTTTGAGCCTCAGCAGCAGTGAGAGAAGAGAGAGGTTAAAGAAGAGAATACTATAGGCCCTCCATCAGTATTTTTTGAAAGAAGTAATTAATAGGTGAATCAGAGAAAGCAATATGTTAATGAGTACACAGCTTATTAAAAGGGAAATATGGGGCTGGAGAGATGGCTCATCAGTTAAGAGCACTGGCTGCTCTTGCAGAAGGCCCAGGTTTGATTCCCATCACCCATATGGTGGTTCACAGTCATCTCTAATTATAGTTTCAGGGGATGCAGTCTCTGTTTTGGCTTCTGTGGGCACAAGGCACACAATAAATGCACCTAAATAGGTGGGGGCAAAAAATACACATAAAATAAATAAATCCACAAAAAGTTTTTTAAGGGAAGTACAAGTGGCCTAACTCATACACATGAAGCCCCTATTTAGTGCCTGATACTTGGCTGATGAAAAGAAAAATGCACACATACAGAGAGAGTATATGTTCATTTTATTTAGTTATTCTTATAGTAAGAATATTTAGTATTCTTTTTTAGATTGATAATATCGTCCGAACTAATTGCTAGATTGAAAGAGTATGGTAGTACCAATTTCTGTCTTTTAAATTAAATAAAAAATAAGCTGCTCAGTGTTTTAATGAGATGGGCACTGTTTTTACAGGTGCTTACCAAGTGATTCGACAAAAGAAAATTTAGTTGAAAGTAAGCCAGTTACTATAAGAAAGAACAAAATGGTGTTTACCCCAATAAAAAACCATTTATTTGCAGTATAGAGACATTGCCTTAAGCTTGTTTATTTTCTAAGTTACACACACACAGACACACACACACACACACACACACACACACACACACACTTCAAAAATTTCCAGGTAGGCTCTTTTGTTTTTATGTTTTTCCTCTTCAGCAATTAAATCTTCTCATTTATGTTTATAAAGAGCAGAAAGTATGAATGTACAAATAGGAAATTGGTTGGAATATATAACCCTCCAACAGCAGATTAGATGGGAAAGGTATAGAGTTTCAAAACTGCTCTGGAGAGTAGCAAAATTATCAAACATAGAGAAGACCCTGACTAGCGGTGTATATTTTCAGCAAAAAAAAAAAAAAAAAAAAAAGATGTCTAACTAGATAATTATGTTGACAATTTGATTTAAGCTGTGGTGTCTAGACCTGGAGACCCATAATTTCTGCAAGGAAAACAGCCAGAAATGTGGTTAGAGGTTTATGTACAGTAACATTCATCATAAGCTGGTAACAGCAGGCACATGTGCATGTACACACATGCACATACAAAAACACCACCACCACATAAAACACAATAGCCAGCACTAGGAGGGGGTCCCAGTAGGGTGATGAGAGCCTAGGACAGCAACAACTCTGCTTGCTTCTCTTACATAGTATTGAAGAATGCTATTCCCTTATGCAGCTACTTAGAATAATTCACTTCCTTGAGCTGTTATAGTCAGATTGATAAATTTGATGCATTTTTTGAAAACTCACAAGGTAGCGAATTGTGAGCACATTTATTACCATGTGACATTAGATCTCTGACACTTGTTGTCAGTGAAGCACAGCATGGTGGAGAAGGATCAACACTCAGGAATGAAGAGCCCTCAAATGTGGAAGGAATGATGGTCAAATGGAAGATAGTTAACTTTGCCACACTCAAGAGAGAAATGCAGCACTCTCCCTGTCCTGGGAAAATGTTTTTAAGCACATGGTTTCCATATGGGAGTAATTTCCATCTCCTAATTAAGATCAGATTTATAAATAAAAGTAGAGGAAGGAAGTCAGCCTGACAAGGGTCTGATACCAAAAGCCAGGGTAAGTGGGAAGTCTTTGAAGGATGGAAAATGAAGGTAGTTGACTTTTGGAAGGAAGTGGTTTAATAGGCCTTGTTTTGTCTGGGTCGTTCAGGAATCATTATAGGAGTGTTGCTTGAGACTCATTAGGGGTTTAGTTCTGACATGTTTATATATAGAGAGAGGACCCCCCCCCTGAACTGGCAGTACCCCTGTTATAGTTAGGAAAATTTACCCTTAACCTCTTACGATATATTGCTTATGTTCTAGAAGCTTCCCTGCATGCCTCTTGAACAATAGGGTTTAAGTGATACAAGGGTAAACATTTTCAACCGAGAATTATGAAATAAAAAGAAAGGAGGAAGAGGAGAAATGGCTTTGGATTCCTGGGCCTCACTGGGCACTGGGAATCGAAACCACAACAGAAAAGAGAGTGAAGGAAAGAAAGCGATTTCACTGACAGAACTGAAGTTCATTTGCTGGGTTCGTGCTGAAGTTTGTTCAGGGATCTTACTCAGTTTTTCACAGACCAGTTTATCTTACTTCTGCTAAAGTCACATAACAAATAGTTTATTTTTAATTAGAGAGAGAGAGAATATGATCTAGTTGAGTTCTCAATACTTTGAGGAACCATTCTTTAATGTTGTACATAAAAATACACAAAAAAACAGAACATAAGGACACAATGTGCCTATTGGCATGTAACAAAAACAGTAAATTCAGACTTTCTCAAAGTGCATTTGAGATTGGCATTACTGTCTTGAAGTTGACACAATTTACATTTACTATTTTAACTGAGTTCCCAGAGAGGTGAGACATTAAAAACCAAGACTACTTGCTTTCCAAATGCACACACACACACACACACACACACACACACACACACACACACACACACCCTGTATGTATGGATATGTATGTGTACCTATACACACTCATGGGAATTAAAGGATAAAAATAGTCATTTAAGTTTGGGTGAGTGGGGAATTGGTTGTTCACCCTGTGTAATATTGATATCCTTCATCCAGTTTTCAATACAAAAGGATTTTAGAATGGAAATCACATTTTAGACTTGCCAAAAGCACCTTTAAAATGAATATGAAACTTTCCTCTAGTCCTTTTCTCACTGTAAAGTAACAGGGTGTGTGGGTGGCTCTGTAAAGCCTCTCTGGCTCCTATTCAAATTTTTCTAATGAATCCATATACTGAATACAAAGCACTCTGTGTGTGTGTGTGTCTGTGTGTGTGTGTGTGTGTGTGTGTGTGTGTGTGTGTGTGTGCGTGTGTGTTTGCATGCATCTGTGTAGTTGCATCTTAAAGAGGTAAATTACTATTTTCTTATAGAATGGATTATATCTAGAGGCAGGAAGAAAGAAAATGAGACAGCCTTTACTCAGGGCAAAGCTACTGAGTAAACTTGATGGTGAGAATAGAGCAAGTTAGCCAGTGGATTCACGCTAAGTGCCCTTCCTCATCCCAGCCACATTCTCTCTTCTCTGCAGCCCTAATTGCCAAAATCAGAAGGGAAATTGAACAGTTATTGCATGGAGAAGGATATTCATTTTCTAGTGGTGAACTTCAAGCCTTGAATAGACTTAAACTCCCGCCAAGCCTCCCCATAAAGTTCTCTGATGAGTGAATTCAACCCGAAGAAGACGAGCCTTTTGCTGATGACTGGGGCAAAGCAATACTAAACAGTACTCCTGCCTCGCAGTCTGGGAGCATGCTAGGGAAATTAAGCCAAGCATCTCTTTGTGATTAATCTCCTTGCTGGGAGTTAGATAGGGCTACCGAATCTGCTACTGAGGCAGAGGTTGGGAAAGATACTTAAGCCAAACGAGGAACTTTTGAAAGAGTTCAGGGCTGCCTGAGCAGAGGGGTCATCTGATACTATGTGACGTTCACCCTTGATCTTTTAAGAGGTAACTTTAGAAGTCTTTTTGTGGCGGAAACCAGTCTCTTTCCAGATGGTGCCTTACACACCTCATGATCCCGGGCAACCGGATCTGGTGTCTCTCGTGTGCTGCTCTTGTTTCATGTATACTTCAACCTCATCAGATAGGTTGTAAATCTCTAGCTTCAAGTTGCACTTGATGTCACGGGGCGTTCTGGTTTCATTTAGGTATGTACAGGGGGATTTGGTGTTCCGGTCTTTGAAGATGAATGAATGCAGTTTGACCTTCCAAACCATGCAATACTAGAACATCTTAAGAATCTAAGGCTTCCATAGGAGACATTCATAGAAGAGAAAGAAAAAAATCTTTTGTTTGTCCTCATGATTCATAATTCTAATTTGATGCATAGACAAATTTTTTTTGACCATACCAAATTCATTTGTCCTGAAGACAGGCAGGTGACTACATATAGGTAAAGATATTAATGAATATCTTATGTATAGTGTCACTTGGTATTTTCCATTGTGAAACATCTTTTAATCAAGGTCTAACAAACACCTGCTGTATGACAGACACTGGATTGGTTCTAGAGACTCAGTGTTGAAAAGGCAGAAATGTTCATATGCAGTTTCCATAATTATCTCTCCAAAATCACGTCCTTATCAAAGGTACTGAAAATTTCTGGACTCTGGATTCTTCTTTATGTCTATTTACAAATGTATGTTTTTAATATCAGGTTTGTATGAACATGTGATTTATATACAGAAAAGTGTACAAGTCAAGACTATAGCTTGGAGAATTTTTATCAAGTAAACATATCCATGAAATAGGCAGCCAGACCAAACAGCAGAGCGTTACAATGGCGTTTTTCTTTTTTGAAGCTCCTTCTTAGCCTTCCAGTTCATCTTCTCAACTACTTTTCCTGACTTCTGACATCATATGCTTATTTTGCCTTGTTCTGAACTTTATAGGTATGGAATCTGCCTTCATTTGCTTATGCTTTTATGCTTATATGATGCCTCTGAGTTGTTGTATGTGGTGAGGTTTATTTATTATCCTTACTAGTCCACTGTTAAATTGTATTAGAATCCATTTGTCTAATCTATTGTTACATATTTGTGGAAAGTAGTCCTGATGTTGGTATTTTCTGGTTGGGGCTATTAAGATTCCTATATGCATCTTCTGGTGAACATTTCTACTGGGAATATACTCACGAGTGGGATTCTTAAGTCAAAAGTTACTCATGTATTTATTCACCTCGGCTACATGTCAACAAGTATTTTTTTCTAAGTGCACTACATTTCAATCTCACAGCATGTATGAAGCCTGCCTGTCACTCCATGTTTTTGCCATGCTCAGCATTATACAGACTTTCATTTTCATGTGCATTTTAAAGCAGAAAAACAAAATCCAATCGTCACCGGGGTTTTGTGTGAGCAATGAGACATCATAAAGTTTACAGCAAATATTAATCCCTTAGACTTTCATTTATGCCCACAATTCAGGATGACATCATATTGAATTTCCAACTCTGCTGAGCTGTTAATGAAATCAGAACCACTGTTTATACTAGAAAACTGGAACATGTTTGTTTTACTCTGGGGTTGAGCTTTTGTTAAACCAGCAGTGGCCGACCAGCTTTCCCCCTCCCCCCTCCCCCCTACAAGGATCTAATGAGGAAAAGTAATATGAGGGTCCCTTACTTGAATTTCAAAATGAAAATGGCGTTATCAAGTTCTGTGGAATAAACATGCCGTTGGCTATGAGATGATGTTCAATATCAACTGTAAGGCTAAAAGTGACAAAAGTTGGAACAATTATAGGCCAATAAAAAACTTAATGCTGGGCCCTTGGAGCTGTAGGGAGATAAATGCCATATTGAAATTAGCTTGCTGATCAGACTATAAAGGCAGGAAGAATTGTAAATATAATGGCTCCAGGCCTAGGCCTGATGTAGGACAACTCCTAATTGGTCTTAATTAAAAACCCGGAGCCAGATACTGGGGTAAATGCTGAAAGATCAGAGAGACAAAGGAACAAGTCACGGCCACCTCTCACCTCACCAGCTCCTCAGCTGAGGAGTTTGTTGTAGAGAGGCTGTAAGCACCTACTATGGAAAGGCTCAGCTGAAGGAGGGAATCTTATCTGGGGGGGGGGGACACACAAGGAAATGGCCTAGCAGGTATAGGTATTTGCCTCACACACCTGGCAACTTGAGTTTGGATCCCCAGAATTGATAGAAAAGCCAGACACAGCAGTGCATGTCAGTTATCTGAGCATTCTTGTGGTAAGATGGGAGGTGGATATAAGAGAATCTCCTGGAAGCTCCAGGGCCAGCTAGCCTGGGGTGTCCAGAGCATCAGCAAACAAGAGAGAACCTTCCTTAAGCAAGGGGGAAGATGAGGACTACTACCTGAGGTTGTCCCTCTGACATGTTTGCCACACACAACTTGTGTGTGGCAAACATGTGCCCTTACACACAGACATGAACACACACAACACACACACACACAGCACACACAGCACACACACACACACACACACACACACACACACACACGGAGCATATATATACAATAAATATTTTCTAAAAGAAACTTATTATTAGAAAGCTGTTGATGGTTTCCTTTTTCTTTTCAGTCTAAGGTTTATACACGCACACCAACCTTATATCTGGACTTCAAGTTGGACCAAGGAGCAAAGCATTCCCAGCCTATTCCTAAAGGTATGACGGGTTCTGGAATTTGGTAGCCATGTCAGAAAAGACAATGAAATCAAAGCCCAAGCTGCCGCTTTCTTGGGAATGCAAACTTCTGCATAATATTCCAGGAACTTTCTCTTTAAATTTGCAAAAACTGCATGTGCATGCTTCTATAGAATAAGTAAGAAATCCAAAAGCTTGACACTTTTCCTGTCTGCTGTCTGCCATACAATCAATTGATTTTTAAATATTTGATATTTAAAACTACTTATTTATTTGTAGTTTCAATGGCATTGGCTGTCTGTATTCAAACATACTAGGCATCAACTTACACAGCTTGTATTTGACTATGAAGTTACTTAAGTCAAGGTTACTTCTTCTCTCTTTGCTGTCACCATTTTTCTAGGTCAAATTCCATTACAGCTCCAAGAACTGTCTAACTTCATTTTATTTGGATGCTTGATTGCATCAAATATTCCTTGAAATGTGTGGCCCATTGGCTCTGTCCCAGACATGTTTCGTTTATCATATTTGATGGTGTTATTACTCATGGTAAAGTGATTTGACATGGATGTCTGGGTTGTGTTTGGCTTCTGGCATAAGCAGTCTAATTTAGTGTTGACTTGGTTGTGTCGTTATCAGACTAATTGGGTAGAAATGGAAGCACACATTGCTACCATCCCACCTGTGATACCAAGAAAATGCCTGTTAAGGGAAACACAGTTAAGGGAGAGCCTGGATACATTCTTCCTGAACACTACCAGGGTCTATCTGAATTCTTTCCCATAAATAGCATTAGAATCAATTTTTACCATCTCTTTCTTTCCTTGGGGCTAGGCACGTTTCCATTGGGTTGTGCTAATCTCGCAGAAAACAGATGTTTCATGCAGTGGTGATTTGGAAGACAGTTGATATCAGGAATTGAGCCTGACGATGCATCATTTGCAAAGAATCCAATCCGTCGAGTTTTTGACAGTACTAGATTTCGTTTGCATTGGCCACACATTTTCCCCATTAGCTCTTGGCTAAAATAAGAATGAGTAGGGTCCATTTTTTGCATGGTGACTTTTAGCATCTCTTGCAAGGCAATCTGATTTTTCTTGCTGTAAACTGATGTGCCGACAACATTGTTATCATTCATCATGAAGGACACAAATTTGCATTTCTTGGAAAATTTCATTCTTTTCCAAGAAACTTATACCTTCTGATCTTCAGGACCCCTTTGTCTACTGACTATTTTCTCTACCTTTCTACATAGCATCTCTGTTTCTATGTACTTTAAAGCATGGTTTGGAGTGTGCTTATGGAAAACTGTTATGGTGTGGAAATTTTTTCATTCATTGAACCTTTTCCTTCTTTTATAATTTTTCTTTATGGTGTAAATACATCGATGACAAAACTATCTTCAGACAATGTATAGTGTACCACTCTGGTAGGCAGAATAATATCCTCCCTCCCTTGGGATGTTCATGTACTAACTCCCAGGACCTAAAATTGTGTTACATGGCAAAGGGACTTTACAGCTATGTATGGTGGAGTTCACTTACAATTCCTAGTACCTGTAGGCAGGTTAAAGGTCATCCTTGGCTACATAGAAAATTTGAAGCCAGTCTAGGCTCCATGAGACCCTGTCTCAAAATGACAGCAAAAATGTGCCATGTGTGTTAATGTAGACCTGTAATCATGGTAGTCAGGAGGTAGACACAGTCACAGGAGAATCAGGAGTCCAAGGCCATCTCACCTACATAGTGAATGCAAGGCCAGCCTGAGCTACTTGAGACTCTGTCTAAAAGAAAGGAAGAGGACTTTGCAGGTATGAGTTAATTAAGGCTCTTGAGATGGAGTGTTTTATGGTTTCAACCTGTGTGATGAAGACTTGGTCCTCAGCCTGTGTTGCCACTGGAGGGGAAAGGGGCAACTCTAGAAGGTTGTGCTTGGAGGAGGTTAGGTCTTTGGAGATGTACCCCTGAAAAGGACACCATGGCCCTGGATTCTCCTCCTCTCTCTTTCCTTTTTTTTTTTTTTTTTTTTTGGCTGCTAAGAATCGAGACGCTTTGTCTGTCACTCGTGTATTGCCATGTTGCACTACCTCATACAAGTCCATGGCCAGCTGGTCATGGGCGGAGTGAGACCTCTACACCAGGAGCCAACGTCCACTTTTGTCTTTTTAAGCTGATTTGCCTTAGGTACTGCTCCAGGAATGGAGCCCAACTAATGATGAGAGGTTAGTCTGGGCAACCCAGGCGGGCATGCTGTCATCATCAGCGTCTATGTAGATAAAAGAAGATATCAGGCAAGTCAGAGCAAGGGGAACTCTGATGTAGAAGCAGAGTGATGTCAGGATGATTCTTGCAGTGGGAAACCAAGAGATCATCTGAAACAATGTCAGTATAAATTGGCTTCTGTGTTTGCCTTGGAATGAAGGAAAAAGGGAGAGAGCCACTTCTTTTCCATTCAATTTTAAAAGTGATTTTCAATATTGGGTACTAATAAGACACAATAAGGTGTCTTTAGGGAATTTTTTTAATGTAGCTAGTATGTTAGTATGAATTTTACTGTTGTAAAATTCTGCTACTGAAACTTTTCTTTTAGCATTTCCTAGTACGTTATTTTATTTTATTTCTTAATGGAACACTCCATTATTTTTCAAAAGGATAATTAAGGTTTGTGGCACAGAAATATTTAGCCACAGCATTTTGCTTGTTTTTAGTGTATGATGATGATAACATACACAATAAGTTGTTGAGGTAAGAGTATCAGATAATTCCTACCCCTAATCTCCAGTAACTCAGTTCATTTTTCATATTTTGGACTTTGTAATATTAAAAAATCTTACTAGAAATACTAAACATTAATACCAGACTATATAGTTTATCTTTAGGTGAATCTTATTGTACAAGTTGCCAATGTGGCTGTGAAACAAACCAACCTGGAACTCAGTGCTTTAAGACAGTTTGTATCGTCTCATACCATGGTTGTGTCCTCTGGCCCAGGCACTATTACAATGCTATAATAACGATGTCTGCCAACATTTTTGTCATCCTTAGCTGCACTGGGAGGGAGACACTTCCAAACTCATGCTCATGTGATTGTTGGCAGGATTCACTGACTGCTCTGTTCTCTGTTCCTTGCCATGTGGGTTTCTTCATGGGATGGCTCGCATGGCTTCTGGCTCCATCAAAGCATGCATGTGAGGGAGAAAAAGAATGAACAATCCCAGAAGCAATGCTCTGTCATTTTTGCTGTACTAGCCCGAAGTAAGCCACCAAGTGCTGGCCACACTCAAAGAGATGGCTTTGGGTTGTTGTTATTAATATGACAACACCAGAAGGCAGGAACCATGAGAGTTCACCACTGTGCTGGTTTGTTTTAACTGTCAATGTGCCACAACCTGAAATCACCCGGGAAGAGAGTCTCAATGATATGTTATCTAGATCGGGCTGGTCTGTGGGCATGTCTGTGAGGAATTGTCTTGATTGTTAACTGAAGTGAAAAGACCCATCCTGAATGTGAGCTTCACCTTTTGTGGGCTGGGCTGCAAGCTTTGGAAGAACAAAGAAAGCTAGCTCAGAGCAAGCAAGCAAACAGGCAAGAAGGCAGGCAGGCAGGCAGGCAGCATAAGTGTGTTCATTTGTCTTTGGTCTTGCCTGGCTGGGTGTGATGAGATTAGGGTTTTAAGCTCCAGCCTTTGTAACTTCCTTGAAATGATGACCTGTAGCCTGGAATTGTAAGCCAAATAAACCCTTTCTTCCCCAAATTGCTTTTGGTCAGGGTATTTTATCACAGCAGCAGAAAGGAAATTAGAATTGGAGCAATCATAATACAGCTTCTGCTTCGGTGCTAAGTGTAACCCAGTTTTCTTATGGCCAGTGGCCAAACGATGAGTAGTGTTTCTAACTCCCTCTAATTTGTAACTTGTTTTCATAATGAGTCCGGAACCCAGAACCTCATGGATGATAGACAATTGCTTTACCACTGAGCCATATCCCCATCTCATTGTGATGTTTTTAATTATCTGAAAAAGCCTAGAGAAACGCATGATGGGGGGGAAGGGTGTCTCAGAATTCTTGACCTGTTTTCTAACAGTGTCTCTCTTGTTAAGGAGGGGCCCCAAACATGAATAGTATGTGTAGAATTGTAGGTTGGAAGGAGTTGTTAAAGAGAAAGTGTGATTTTTGTTCACTACATCAAATATTCAACTTGTCTTGTGGCATGTCTGTAAGGGATCGTTTTGCTTGTTAATTGAAGTGAATTAAGTATTCTAATGCACTATTACTAAGTAGAGAGCTTGGCAAAGTGCTTAGAAGTGCATTAGAATACTTGATCTCAGCTTCCCTCATAATTATGATATACATTTAACAGTTTTGGACATAAATCAATTAGTCTTCCAAGCATTGGTGGACATGAATCAGAGGCAGTTGTAAACTTATCCAGCAAGAAATTTTAAATTATAATTACTTTGGGTGAGCTGTGTGTCCTTTTCCTATTGATTTGTAGCAACTCTGTGTTCTGAGTTCTAGTCATCATCATTTATATTATAAATATCTTCTCCTTTCTACCTCTCATTTTCTGTACTATTTCTATACTGTAATAAAAAATTTTCTTGAGTTTACAAATCTGTTCATTAATGGTTAGTACATTCTTTGGTTTCTTTAATCATCATTTCCAAACCCAAGGTCATGAAAGTGTTCTCCAGGTTACCAGGTGTTTTGTTGTTTGTCTTTTGTGTTGGTGTGTTTACTTTTCTGGAATTAGTTTTTTTTTTTTTTTGTAATTTTTTTTCTTTGCAGTGGTGGGGTTGAAACCCAGAGACATAAGCCTGCTCTACCACTGAGCCACATCCCCAGCTCCTCTTTTTAAAATTATTTTCAATTGGCCAGTAAATTAGTATTACTTCTTCCTGTGCAACATGTCTTAAAGTATAGATACATTGTAGAATGACTAAATCTAGATACCTAACATATTACTACCTCACACAGTTATTTTAATGACTGAAACAGAACATTTTTTCAGGCAGAATCTTA